AATGTAACTGGGTTAATATTTCTTAGTCTAGATATGTTTTATAGATAGTAATAAAACTATTAAGTCCAAGGTTCAAAAGATTTTATGAAGGGTCCAATATCTAGTCACCATGTGGCTGGCAGGAGCAAATGCTACATTCTAGCTTCCTTTTTATTCTTTGCAGCTCCCAGTTGATTTACTGTTGGTCTTTAGATACATTTTAAATACCACTAAAAAAAGTTTTAACTCATGGAAATTTTATCTGATTTGGTTATTTAAAATTACCACTTACATGTGTAAGATAGATTTGAGAATCTTAAGATTTATAAGAATAACAAGTAGCAGAGTTTCAAATACATGGTCTTCTCCATTAGCAGAGTTAATACGTAAAATCAGAAATAGTCTTATCTATCCTCCGCAGACACAAAGGACTTCTTTTTTCCCTCCTCAGAAGATAGGCAGCACAGAAAAGAAAAAGGCGATCTCCTTGATATTCACGCATCCATTTAAAATGTATCTATTGAGGGGACTATTTTGTGCAAGATATCCTTCTAGGCATTGGGGATACATCAATGAGTAAAAGAGACAAAAATCCCTACCATGAGGGAGGTTATATTCCAGTGATAGGCAAAAGAAACCACTCCAGCACACCTCCCATACCTCTTCTGCATTCCAAATGACTGCTGTAAAGAATAAGGATAGTGCCCTGATGCTGATATCTTGCTAAGAGTTTTAATATTTTGTTACGAGCGTGGCCTCTTAAAGTAGAATATCAGAAACACAGCAAAATGTCATTATGTTCTGTCTTGCTAAGCAATTTAGCCAAATAGACCAATTCCACTGTCTATACATGGCTTCACAGGCACTTAAAGCAGGTATAGTTCATACAGAACATTTCTCTAAGGATCCCTGGAGACCACTCACTATATCTATACTTCATAAGAGGAGGTAAGGCCAGGCTTGGTGGCTCCAGCCTGAAATCCCAGCACTTTGGGAGGCCGAGGCGGGCGGATCACGAGGTGAAGAGATCGAGACCATCCTGGCCAACATGGTGAAATCTCATCTCTACTAAAACTATAAAAATTAGCTGGGCGTGGTGGTGCATGCCTGTAGTCCCAGCTACTCGGGTGGCCGAGGCAGAAAAATCACTTGAACTCAGGAGGCAGAGGTTGCAGTCAGCCGAGATTGCGCTACTACACTCCAGCCTGGTGACAGAGCAAGACTCCGTCTCAAATAAATAAATAAATAAATAAATAAAGACGAGGTAATGCTCTAAGCACCTTCCTACTACAAAGGGAAAAACTTCAACCCTGAGAAAATGGAGACCATTAACTTATTTACATAGTATTGTAGAAATCATGAAAATGAAAAATAAGTTATCGATAAGATCAGTGGAAAGGGAAGAAAGTGGCTTAACAGCTGTGTCCTCATCAAGAAGTATCCCTGTCATCAAAAATGCAACTCAGGAGCAAGAAGGAGTGAATGTGGATAACAGACAGCAAAGATCTCACGTCTTATTTTCTTGTTGAGTACTCTGCAGTACGACTGCTGAGCTAGATTCCTACCTTCTTTTGGGTTCTGCTTAAACTGTGCAGAAAGAGAAGAAAGAAAGATGACATCTCTGTCCCGGTCCTTCCAAGAGACACGGAAGATCTTACAGACCAGCTGTAAGGCCTGCTCTTCAGACACTTCAGGGCCCGAGGAAGGCTCCTGGTGAAGAAGATTTGCGTGTTAATTTCAAATAAGGCGTATGAGTTATGTACTTCAATAGGAATACGTTATTCTGATTTAATTCATTATTAGTGATGATATTTTAAAAATGCATAAAACCATGCACCCACTGATGAGGGGAAAAGTAAGCCTGTTACTGTAACATCAAAGTTACAACATCTAAGTCTCATGAGCTTATAATACAATCTACGGGGAGCATAAAAGAGCAAAGATGGCCAGGCGTGGAGGCTCACACCTGTAATCCCAGCACTCTGGAAGGCCGCAGCCAGTGGATCACCTGAGGTCAGGAGTTCAAGACCAGCCTGGCCAACATGGTGAAGCCCTGCCTCTACTAAAAATACAAAAATTAGCCAGGCACGGTGGCGGGCACCTATAATCCCAGCTACTCGGGAGGCTATGGCAGGAGAATCACTTGAACCCAGGAGGCAGAGGTGGTGGTGAGCCGAGATCACGCCACTGCACTCCAGCCAGCCTGGGCAACAACAGAATGAGGCACTGTGTCAAAAAAAAAAAAAAAAAGAGCAAAGGTGTTATCAAAAGTCATCAAGGAAAAATATGTGATGTACATATCCTATCTATTTACTTTTCTGAATTCCACAGGACCAGGTTAACATTCTAGGTGCATGACCAATTTTCCTCCAGGAATTTTTCAAAAATGTAACATTTCTCATTACATACCACCACAGATAAAATATCATATATAAAAGAATTTTGCAAACATTAAAGAACTATACAAAATAAAGCACTGCACCACTAGGAGGCTACAGTGCAACTTCTTATTTTTTCCGTTTTTTGTTTGTCTTTTTATTTTTGTTTACAGTGCAACTTCCAATAATCATTAACACGTGTTGCTAAAGGATTCCTAATAATTTACTGAACAGAAAGTGATGTAATTTTCTATATTAATACACACACACACACACACACACACACACACCCTAAATGCAGAGCACTAAGCTCAGGTGATATTCATATTTAAAGGCTTCATGTTTTCCAAAACCTTCCACTTGCTACTGGATTCTACACATTCTTGCCTCAATTCCCAGTCATTTTCCTCAGAATACTGCTAAAGATGTGACAATCTACTTGCTCAAAAGCAAAAGACCAGGCCGGGCACAGTGGCTCATGCCCGTAATCCCACACTTTGGGAGGCCGAGGCGTGTGGATCACGAGGTCAGGAGATCGAGACCACCCTGGCTAACACGGCGAAACCCCGTCTCTACTAAAAATACAAAAAATTAGCTGGGCATGGTGGCAGGTGCCTGTAGTCCCAGCTACTTAGGAGGCTGAGGCAGGAGAATGGTGTGAACCCGGGAGGCAGAGCTTGCAGTAAGCCAAGATCGCACCACTGCACCACTGCACTCCAGCCTGGGCGACAGAGTGAGACTCTGTCTCAAACAAACAAACAAAAAGCAAAAGACCAATATAAAGAATTCTTTTGGCCGGGCGCGGTGGCTCAAGCCTGTAATCCCAGCACTTTGGGAGGCCGAGATGGGCAGATCACGAGGTCAGGAGATCGAGACCATCCTGGCTAACACGGTGAAACCCCATCTCTACTAAAAAACACAAAAGAACAGCCGGGCGAGGTGGCGAGCGCCTGTAGTCCCAGTTACTCGGGAGGCTGAGGCAGGAGAATGGCGTAAACCCGGGAGGCGGAGCTTGCAGTGAGCTGAGATCCGGCCACTGCACTCCAGCCTGGGCGACACAGCAAGACCCCGTCTCAAAAAAACAAAAAAAAAGAATTCTTTTTTTTTTTTTTTTTTTTTTCTGAGACGGAGTTTTGCTCTGTCGCCCAGGTTGGAGTGCGGGGGAGCAATCTTGGCTCACTGCAAACTCCACTTCCCAGGTTCACGCCATTCTCCTGCCTTAGCCTTCCAAGTGGCTGGGACTACAGGCGCCCGCCACCACGCCCGGCTAATTTTTTGTATTTTTTTTTTAGTAGAGACGGGGTTTCACCATGTTAGCCAGGATGGCCTCCATCTCTTGACCTCGTGATCCGCCCACCTCGGCCTCCCAAAGTGCTGGGATAACATAAAGAATTCTAACTTGCTCTAAATTAGTTCCTATTACAACCTAAATGTACTGATAAAATCATGGCCCTGAACCAAAAACAGATGGATATTATCAGATCAAAGGACTGAGTTACACTTCCACGAATAAGGGTAATCTAGGTTATTCATTTTTCCTCGAAAGAATAAAAATAATCACCTGCCTAGGACTTCCTGATTTGGGGTGGCCCCACTCTAACAGACTCTACAGATACAAGACATGAAATGTGTTTGTTTATATTACCTGTACCAAGGGCTTCATCGCTTACCAACCTTATCACTGAGGCTCCGTTTTTCTCTTCGATCATTTTCATCAACCTCCATGTTTTCAATTCCTGAATCCACATCCACCTGGGACATGCTTAAAGTACAAAAGACAAATAAGCCTTTTACCTTTTATAAACCTGCACAATGTCACTGTAGCTGCTCGGTGAGAAAAAGTTTTAAAGTATCAGTTAAATCAATCAGGAAAGCAAAATGATAATGGTTCATCTTCTTATTAATTTTTAAGAGTTCTTCATAAATTAGGATCTAAATAATTTGTCTCTCATATATGTTGGAAATATTTTTCCTAAGTTGTCATTTTCTTGAGTTCACTTTTTAAAAGTATATCATTGGCCGAGTGCAGTGGTTCACGCCTGTAATCCCGACACTTTAGGAGGCCAAGGCAGGTGGATCACCTGAGGTCGGGAGTTCAAGATCAGCCTGACCAACATAGAGAAACCCCATCTCTACTAAAAATACAAAATTAGCTGGCCGTGGTGGCACATGCCTGTAATCCCAGCTCCTCGGGAGGCTGAGGCAAGAGAATCACTTGAATCCGGGACGGATAGGTTGCGGTGAGCCAAGATCGCACCATTGCACTCCAGCCTGGGTAACAAGAGCGAAACTCCATCTCAAATAAACAAACAAATAAATAAATAAAAGTATATCATTAAAGTGGGTTATCTATATATAGTATTTTAAAATGACATGAAATTCAACCAGGTCAGGTATATCAGCATGCACCTATAGTCTGAGCTACCTAGGAGGCTGAAGCTGGACGATCACTTTAGCCCAGAAGTTTGAGGCTGTATGCACTATTACTGCGTCTGTGAATAACCACTATATCCCAGCGTGGGCAGCATAGCAAGACTCTGTCTCTAAAAAGAATTTAAAATTTTTAAAAATTTAATTAAGAAAATAAAAAATTCAACTGAAGTCTTATTACAAAAACTGGTTAAGTACATATTATTTCCCTCTGATTAAAGAATTGCCCTAGCACCATTTATTGCAAAGATCATCCTTTTTACATTAATATGAAATCTCCTATGTCACATGTCCAATTTTCATTAATGAGTGGGTCTATTTCTGGAGATTCATTACTGTTCTGTTAGACAACTGTCTGTCCCTGGTCAATACCACTTTGTCTGAATCACTAAAACTTCACTAGTCTTGATATCTGCTAGATCAATGTCTCCACCTTATTCTTCTACTTTAAGAGGCCTTAGCGATCCCTGGCTCTTTCCTCTTCTACACATACTTAGGAATCAGCCTGAGGAATTCCTTAAAAACCTTCCTGGGATTCTGACCAAAATTTTTTTCACTCGTAGAGATCAAATTGGGGAGAAGTAATATAATTATGTTACTGAGTTTTTATTACTTTCCAAGTATTAAGATCTTCTTTAAGGTCTATCAACAAACTTTAATAATTTTCTCTATAAAAATTTTATACTTCTTTTGCTAAATCTATTCCTAGGTACCATATGTTAATACTTTTTAATGAAATTGTGAATGGCACCTTTTTAAAAATTAAGTTTTCTAACTTTTTGTTGTTGGCAGACAGGAATGTAACTGATTTTAAATATACACTTCTTATAAGCAACTTGTTTATTTATACATAGAAAGTTTACATGCAAATAATTTTTTTTTTTTTTTTTTTTTGACAGTGTCTTGCTGTGTCACCCAGGCTGTAGTATAGTGGTGCAATCTCGGCTCACTGCAACCTCTGCCTCCCAGGTTTAAGGCATTCTCCTGTCTCAGCCTCCAGAATAACTGGGATTATAGGCACGCACCACCACGCCCGGCTAATTTTTTTTGTATATTTAGTGGAGACGGGGTTTTACCATGATAGCTAGGCTGGTCTCGAACTCCTGACCTCAAGTGATCTGCTCGCCTCGGCCTCCCAAAGTGCTGGGATTACAGGCGTGAGCCACTGTGCCCAGCCAACATGTAAATAATCTATCTACAAATTATCACTGTTGTTTCTTCCATTCCAATCCTTACTTGTTTCACTGCACTGCTGAATACAAGAAGAAATAGCAGCCAGGCGCGGAGGCTCATGCCTGTAATCCCAGCACTTTGGGAGGCCGAGGCAGGTGGATCACAAGGTCAGGAGATCAAGACCATCCTGGTTAACACGGTGAAACCCTGTCTCTACTAAAAATACAAAAAAAATTAGCCAGGCGTGGTGGTGGACACCTATAGTCCCAGCTACTCAGGAGGCTGAGGCAGGAGAATAGCTTTAACCCAGGGGGTGGAGCTTGCAGTGAGCAGAGATCGCACCACTGCACTCCATCCTGGGCGACAGAGCAAGACTCTGTCTCAAAAAAAAAAAAAAAAAGAACAAGAAATAGTAGTCATCCTTGTTCTTATTGCTGTTTTACAGAAAATGATGCTAACTTCTCACTATTGAATAGGAGAGTTGGTGGAGTTTATTGGCAGATGCCCTTTATATAAGTTAGAGTAAGACAGGCTATACTGTAGTAATACATACACTCTGAAATCTTAGAGGCTTAACACTGTAAGGATTTAGTTCTTGCTTACACAAAGTCTGATGAGAGTGAAGCATCCTTACTCCATCTTTAATCTATGCCATCTGCAATACACAGCCTCCAAGGTCACTGGAGCAAGAGAAGAGGGGGATGGAGGAGGAACATCGGCTCAACTGCCTTCATCTAAAAGTGACACATGTCACTCTAGTTCATAGTCTACCAGACAGAACTAGTCATTGGCCCCAATTTAACTGTAAAAGAGAATGGGAAATATGCTGGGGAGCATGTGGAATATTTGCTGAACTTTGTCTGTGCCACACTGTGAGTGTAAGGATACTCCTTTCTGTTCCTCATTTTCTTATTATCATGAATTAATGTGGAATTTTATCAAACTCTTGCAGCTACCAACATTATAAGGATTTTCTTTTTAATATACAATATGGTAGAAGATATGTATAGATTTTCTAATGTCAATGTATCCTTACATTCCTAAAGTCAGCCTAAATTGATCATGATATACTATATTTATATTATATTATTTTAAAACAAACTTAATTGAAATATAAGATGCCTATAATCCCAGCACTTTGGGAGGCCGAGATGGGTGGATCACTTGAGGTCAGGAGTCCGACGCCAGCCTGTCCAACATGGTGAAAGCCCGTCTCAACTAAAAATTCAAAAATTAGCCAGGTGTGGTGGCCCATGTCTGTAATCCCAGCTATTCGGGAGGCTGAGGCAGAAGAACTGCTTGAACCCGGGAGGCAGAGGTTGCAGTGAGCCGAGATCATGCCACAACACTCCAGTATAGGAGACAGAGTGAGACTCTGTCTCCAAAAAAAAAATAAAGATAAATGCTTGAGGGAATGGACACCCAATTTTCCATGTGTTTATTTATTTATTACTATTTTTTGAGACAAAGTCTCACTCTGTTGCCCAAGCTGGAGTGCAGCAGTGAGATCTCAGCTCACTGCAACCTCCATCTCCCAAGCAACTCTTCTGCCTCAGCCTCCCAAGTAGCCGGGACTACAGGTATACGCCACCATGCATATTTTTAGCAGACGTGGGGTTTCACTATGTTGGCCAGGCTGGTCTTGAACTCCTGACCTCGTGATCCACCCACCTCGGCCTCCCAAAGTGTTGGGATTACAGGCGTGGGCCACCATGCCCGGCCCCCATGATGTGTTTATTTTATTTTTATTTATTTATTTTTTTGAGACGGAGTTTCCCTCTTGTTGAACAGGCTGGAGTGCAATGGCACAATCTCGGTTTATGGCAAACTCTGCCTCCAGGATTCAAACTATTCTTCTGCCTTAGCCTCCCGAGTAGCTGGGATTACAGGCATGTGTCACCACACCCAGCTAATTTTGTATTTTTAGTAGAGGTGCGGTTTCTCCATGTTGGTCAGGCTAGTCTAGAACACCCAACCTCAGGTAATCTGCCCACCTCAGCCTCCCAAAGTGCTCGGATTACAGGCGTGCGCCACCGCGCCCAACCCCCATGATGTGTTTATTACACATTGCATGCCTGTACCAAAATATCTCAACTACCCCTTAAACATATACATCTACTATGTATCCACTAAAATTAAAAATTGAAAATAAAAACAGGCCCAGCTTGTTTCTTTGTTTAAATCTGTAAATGTCTTTATTTCCCTTTGCTTTAAACAGTTCCAGGCCAGGCGCAGTGGCTCATGCCTGTAATCCAAGCACTTTGGAAGGGCAGGAGGATCACTTGAGGCCCAGAGTTTGAGAACAGCCTGGGCAACATAAGGAGACCCTGTCTCTACCAAAAATTTAAAAATTAGTCAAGTACGGTAGCATATGCCTATAGTCCAAGCTAATTTGGAGGTTGAGGTGGGAGCACTGCATGAGCCTGGGAGGTCGCAAGGCTGCACTGCATTCCTGCCTGAATAAAAGAGTGAGACCCCGTCTCGAAAAAAAGTCAGGAGTTCGAGACCAGCCTGACCAACAGGATGAAACCCCGTCTCTACCAAAAATAAATACAAAACTTAGCCAGGGGTGGTGGCCCATGCCTGTAGTCCCAGCTACTAGGAAGGCTGAGGCATGAGAAGTACTTGAACCCTGGAAGCAGAGGCTGCAGTCGAGCAGAGACTGCGCCACTGCACTCCACCTTGGGTGACAGAGTGAGACCCTGTTTCGAAAAAAAAGAGAGAGAGAGAAAAGAAAACATAAAAAAGAAAAAGGGCAGTTCCACAGGAGTTCACATTTCCCAGTTGACAGTTACTTTCTTTCAACTATTATTCTGCCATCCTGTGGCCTCCACCATTGAGATATTTGGCTGTCATTTCTTTTCTAGATAATCTCTCTTTTCACTCTGTCTGCTTTAATGGTCTTTGTCTCTGCAAGGAGTGGGGGCATTTATATCTAAATAAATAAATAAATAAATAAATAGGTTTTTGTCACCAGTGTTCTACAATTTCACCATAAAATGTGTAGGTATGACTTTCTCTTTGTTTATTCTGCTTGGGATTCACTAGGCTTCCTAAATCTGAAGATTCATATCATTTACCAACTCTCAACAAAAATTCAATCATTTATTATAATTTTTTTTTTTTTTGAGACAGACTCTCACCCTGTTGCTTAGGCTGGAGTGCAGTGGTGTGATCTCAGCTTACTGCAATCTCCGCTTCCCGGGTTCAAGCAATTCTCCTGCCTCAGCCTCCCGAGTAGCTAGGATTACAGGGGCATGCCACCACAACCCACTCATTTTTGTATTTTTAGTAGATATGGGGTTTCAACATGTTGGCCAGGCTGGTCTCGAACTCCTGACCTCAAGTGAATGCCTGCCTCGGCCTCCCAAAGTGCTGGGATTACAGGTGTAAGCCACTGCTCCTGGCCTGATTTTTTTTTTAATAATATCTTTCAAACCAGTAGAGAAAAAAACGTGGAATAAAAGTGAGCAGAAGGAAATCTCCCCAACTCTCTATTCTCCCTTTTTGATATTTAGATATATGCTGGACCCCTGTTCTCTTTTTCTTCTTTTTGAAAGCTGAACATCTGCATTCACAATTTTAATGTTCTACCTAGAAATTTCAATCCTACATACATTTCATGAGAAACCAAGGACTCTGTCCTCTATATCTCTAAATATCTTTTATATTTTTCATCTCCTTTGTTCTTTATGGTATGTTCTGGGTAATTTCTTCAGCGCTTTCGGTTTGTCAATTCTTCCTTCAGCTATGTCTAACCCCTATTTAACTCTTACAGCAAGTTGTCAATGTGAATTACCTTTTCATTTCTAGATATTCTATTTGGTGGTGGTGGTTGTTGTTGTTGCTATTATTATTATTATTATTATTGATGCAGAGTCTCACTCTGTCACCTAGGCTGGAGGGCAGTGACGTGATCTCAGCTCACTGTAGCCTATGCCTCCCAGGTTCAAGCGATTCTCCTGCCTCGCCTCCCAAGTAGCTGGGACTACAGGCATGCACCACTACACCCAGCTAATTTTTGTATTTTTAGTGGAGACGGGGTTTCACGATGTTGGCCAGGTTGGTCTTGAACTCCTGGCCTCAAGTGATTCATGTCTCCCAGTTTCCCACAGTGCTGGGATTACAGGTGTGAGCCACCACGCCCAGCCCCTTATTCATATTTTTAATTCTCCTTTTTTTTTTTTTTTTGAGATGGAGTCTCACTCTGTTGCCCAGGCTGGAGTGCAGTGGCACAATCTTGGTTCACTGCAACCTCCACCTCCTGGGTTCAAGTGATTCTCCTGCCTCAGCCTCCCCAGTAGCTGGGATTACAGGTGCCTGTCACCAGGCCCAGTTAATTTCTTGTATTTTGAGTAGAGATAGGGTTTCCAGGTTGGTCTTGAACTTCTGACCTCAAGTGATCTGCCTGCCTCGGCCTCCCAAAGTGCTAGGATCACAGGCATGAGCCATCAAGCCCGGACTTAATTCCCCTTTTCATCTGTTTAGCCCACTGACACGAACCGAGGGCACTGCTTGAGGCGAGAGGAGCCAGATCCAAGGAGTCTGACTTGCTCAACCACGAAAGGAATCAATACCTCAGCCACCCTTATCACCCATTTTTGGCACATATGCAACACAGGAGGGCTGTTTCAAGACACCCTGATCCTTATGAAGCAAACAGGGTATTTGGCTTCCCTGTCTAAAATATTCCAAACTTTTAAATTTCACTAATCAGTAAAAGTTTTAGGGAGAGGCATATGCTTGCCAACTTTATATTTACAAAATGAGAACAACAGATTTCTTTTTTTAACTGACTACACCATTATTTCATAAAAGACATTTAACACACAAGCATAGTGGGCCAGGCACGGTGGCTCATGCCTGTAATTCCAGTTCTTTGGGAGGCTGAGGCAGGCAGATCTCTTGAGGCCAGGAGTTTGAGACCAGCCTGGCCAACAGGTGAAACCCTGTCTCTACCTAAAATATAAAAATTAGTCAGGCACGGTGGCACACGCCTGTAATCCCAGCTACTCAGGTAGCTGAGGCAGGAGAATCACTTGAACTTGGGAGGCGGAGTTTGCAGTGAGCCCTGATCATACCACTGCACTCCAGACTGGGTGACAAGAGTGAGACTCTGTCTCAACAACAAGGGTATGAAGAACATCTCTGAATAATACAAAATCTTTAAATGTAATACGTTTGACCCTAATTTGCTAAGGACTGGCATGGGTCTCCAGCTGGCATTTCTGACTATGGACTAGAGACTAAAGTGAATGGATCTTTCTCTTTCCCTAAATAAAAGAGCATATTAGAAAACTGGCTTCATTTTACCTTTTCTCACATGAGACACCATCGATATCCATGCTCTGGGAACGTGAGAGAGACTGAGATTGCGTTTCAAGGCTATTAGAGGGCGAGCTGCTGAGAGAACTGACTCCTTCACTGCTCTGGCTTCGATGGGCTACTCCTAAACAGAAAACACAGGAAGGATGAAGCCCCATGGGAAATAATGTTCAAGTTATTTGTAATAGCAACAGTAAACACGCACAGTCTGCAGTCACACTGTCATGACATTGCAGCAACCGAGGAATTTCTATCAGAAGATCATATAAAAAGCTGGAAACAATAATAAAATCATAGGAACATCACTAAGAAATCATAAGTTATCAATATACTTCATATGAGGTTGGTAACAGAGCTACACCTAATGCCTAAAACTCACCCCTCATCACCTCTCTTGCACCAATTCAAACTATGGTCCACAAATACAAATCAGAAACATAAATTAACTTCCATGATAGTCCAGAAAAATCCTTGGAATGCACCCAAAGGAAGAGATATTAATAAATCAGGCCATTGCAGTGGCTCATGCCTGGAATCCCAGCACTTTGGGAGGCCAAGGCAGATGGACAACCTGAGGTTGGGAGTTCGAGACCAGCCTGGCCAACATGGTGAAACCTCATCTCTACTAAAAATATAAAAATTAGCTGGGCGCCTGTAATCCCAGCTACTCAGGAAGCTGAGGCAGGAGAATCCCTTGAATCTGGGAGGAAGAGGTTGCAGTGAGCCAAGATCACAACACGCACTCCAGCCCAGGCGACAGAGCAAGACTCCATCTCAAAAACAACAAAAGGATATATTAATAAACCTACAGAAAAATGTGTGATAAAGCGAATATAATAAAATGTTAAAGAGACCAGGCATGGTGGCTCATGCCTATAATCCCAGAACTTTGGGAAGTCGAGGCAGGTGAATTACAAGGTCAGGAGATTGAGACCATCCTGGCTAACATGGTAAAACCCAGTCTCTACTAAAAATACAAAAAAATTAGCTGGCCAGCCTGGCTAACACAGTGAAACCCCGTCTCTACTAAAAAATACAAAAAACTAGCCAGGCGAGGTGGCGGGTGCCTGTAGTCCCAGCTACTCAGGAGGCTGAGGCAGGAGAATGGCGTAGACCCAGGAGGCGGAGCTTGCAGTGAGCTGAGATCCGGCCACTGCACTCCAGCCTGGGCAACAAAGCAAGACTCCGTCTCCAAAAAAAAAAAAAAAAAAATTAGCTGGGCATGGTGGTGGACACCTGTAGTCCCAGCTACTTGGGAGGCCGAGGCAGGAGAATCGCTTGAACCCAGGAGGCAGAGGTTGCAGTGAGCCAAGATTGCGCTACTGCACTCCAGCCTGGGCAACAGAGTGAGACTGTTAATGTTAAATTTTTAAAAAGTGAATGACAGAATCTGGATGGTGAGTATATGGGTGTTCCCTGCAAATTTCTCTCAACTTTCCTGTATGTTTAAAATTTTTATAATAAAATGTTGAAAAAAATATAAGAGAACTCAACAATGTCCTTTGATATAGATTGATCCATTTATTGGTTGGACACCTTAGTGGAAATTAAAAACCTGACACTTTGCTGCCCTCACAGAGCTGACAGTATAGTGAAACTGTAGTCATTAGCATAGGGACAGATGATTTCTCACAACAATTTCCTCATCGATGTCTCTAAAATCATGTTTTACATTGAAATTTTAAAAATTACTTTAACTCTATGAATATCTTCCCATGAAAAAAGAAGAATGTTAACCCAGGCATTTGCAAATACTTTAAAAAATATATATCTATAGTGCTGAAAAGGAAAATGACACGTTTTAAAAAACTATTGGCTAGGCACGATGGCTCACACCTGTAATCTCAGCACTTTGGGGGGCCGAGGAAGGTGGCTCATTTGAGGTCAGGAGTTTGAGACCAGCATGGCCAATGTGGTAAAATCCTGTTTCTACTTAAAATACAAAATTTAGCTGGGCATGGTGGCGCACGCCTATAATCCCAGCTACTTGGGAAACTCAGGCAGGAGAATCGCATTAACTTGGGAGGTGGAGGTTGCAGTGAGCCAAGATCACCCCACTGCACTGCAGCCTGGGTGACAAAGCAAGACTCCACCTCAAAAAAAAAAAAAAAAAAGATATGAAAATTTGAGTTACCCGTTGTAGTGAAAACAATTACTGAATAAATATAATTTTAACCCTTCCAGCATTCTATGAAAGCAAACTTGCTACCTTTTAATGTTTCTCTTCAATGAAGAATGTTACAAAACATTTATTCATTCCTGAAAGCAGTTCTTCACATGTACTAATTTATTAAAACTTCTGCACGACTTACGAAGGAAATAAGAAGGAACTTGATACCAAAGAACTGAATATGGAAAGGGAAAATAGTAACTTTAAGTGGAAAAACATGGCCAGCACTAACTTAAGCATGTGATGATGTTTTAACAACACCAGGGACATCATGTGGATATTACATACCCCTGATACGACGTGATGGGAACGGCACTTCACCTGTGTGACAAAATCTTCCCCAAAACCCACAACCCCAGTCTCATCATGAGGAAAACACCAGACAAAGCCAAATCAAGGGACATTCTACAAAGTACTGACTAGTATTCTTCAAAATTGTCAAGATCATGAAAACAGGACTGAGATACTGTCATAGACCAATGGAGACTAAGGAGACTCATGTTTAGTTAAAATCATATTCAGGCTAATTCCTTAGTTTTGACAAATGAACCAGATATTAACATTAGGGGAAACTGGATGAAGGGTACACAGGAATCGTGTATATTATCTTCATAACTTCTCTATACATTGAAAGTTAGTCTAAAATAAACATTTATTTTACAAAAAAACCAGGACTGGACACCGGTTCCATCATTTCTAGTTTTCTAATCTTAACCAAATCTTCTTACTTAATATTTTTACCTATGCTCTACAATACTGTCATCTGTGCAGCCTACTTCGTAGTTCTACTTCGAGGAGCCAATGAAAAAAAACAATGTGAATGTGTTTACAAGTTCTATAGATATACCTGTATGCGTCAGACAAGAACAGAATGAGAAATCAGATTTGCCTTGTTACCACAACATCTGCTCTGGTCTTGCCCACTTTTAGCATATTTAAGTACTAAAAAAGAGAGGGGGAGGCCAGGCATGGTGGCTCAAGTCTGTAATCCCAGCACTTTGGGAGGCTGAGGGGGTAGATCACTTGAGGTCAGGAGTTTGACACCAGCCTGGTGAAACTCTGTGTCTACTAAAAATACAAACATTAGCCGGGTGTGGTGGCACACGCCTATAGTCCCAGCTACTCGGGAGGCTGAGGCACGAGAATTGCTTGAACCCGGGAGGCAGAGGCTGCAGTGAGATCATGCCACTGCACTCCATCCTGGGCAACAGAGTGAGACTACATCTCAAAAAAAGAGAAAAGAGAGGGGGAACCTTATCCTACCACTGTTCAATGACTTTTCCCTCTCAAGCTATCATTTCAAATAATCACACAAGTGTAATTCCTGTGGATCCACTGATGCTTCTACAGTGGCATTACTTGTTAAAAGTAACTCACAGTGAACAAACAAATGTAATTTATAATCTACCTAACTACTGTAGCTAAAAAGGATATATGCATAAAACTGGATTTTGAGTCCCCCCAGTCCTCATACCTCATTTATCTCTACATCTAAGGTCATTTCCTCCCCCCTACACCCCTCCCTGATAACTAAGAATACATTTCACAGTGAGTATTTAATAGTCACTGAACACTTTGGGAGGCCAAGGCGGGCGGATCACCTGAGGTCAGGAGTTCAAGAACAGCGTGGCCAACATGGCGAAACCCTGTCTCTACTAAAAAATACAAAAAAATAGCTGGGCATGGCGGTGGGCGCTTGTAATCCCAGCTACCCAGGAGGCAGGAGAACTGCTTGAATCTGGGAGGCGGAGGTTGCAGTGAGGCGAGATGGCGCCACTGTACTCTAACCTGGGTAACAGGGCAAAACTCCTTCTAAAAGAAAAACAAAGTCACTGAATACAAGAGAGCTTTGAGGGTATTTTCTAAATTTATGGCAGCCACATCAAATGGATGCTATTAGTGAACTCTGTACTTGTTCTTAGTACCTTAGTTTCTCTATAAAATGATAGAACTGATGTTTAAAAAAAAACTCTAACACTTTACAGTCCCATTAAAGTTATAAATTACGTGTTGCTATTTTTTGAAAACCATGCTGCATAGTTTACAATAACAAATCTAAATACTCCATTATGCACCCCCTGTCAAAACAGTGACAAATTTTAGAAACAAAAGAGAAACTGAACCACACAACCTTGGCTGGTGAACATTTTCTGACCCTTCACAAAGGCTTTCTCTCAGGTCAGGGCTGACCTAGTCTCTTTCATCTACCACATTCAGGGAGCCCCGGGAAGACGGGAAGACGGGAAGACGCACCACCTGATTAAACAGAACCGCCTGAAGTCAAGAGGCCTGAGGCCACAAGGTAACAAGTTATTTTCATTCTTTAGGATCACAATATTTCCTGTCACTAGGAGAAGAAAGGAACAAAGGAGTTTTGCTTCACTAAGGATAGGGGATGGGTACGGTGACAGGCCAAGGTGTGGCTCTCAGTCTACTTCAGGGGATGAATCCTGCCAAACCTGACCAATGTCCACTTGCTGGAGGCTGGCTAGGGCTTGATGTTAAAGCTCTCCAGGTATGAACATTCAACTCTAGGTGTTAAAGGTGACAAATTCTTCTGAATCCAAAGATTTCAAAATCTTAACTTTTTCTTAAACTTACTTCCCTTGGATTCCAATTGGGAAACTGGAGAGAGGCCGGGTACAGTGGCTCATGCCTGTAATCCTAACACTTTGGGAGGCCAAGGTAGGGGGATCGCTTGACCCCAGGAGTCTGCGACCAGCATCACCAACATGGTGAAACCCCATCTCTACTAAAAATACAAAAAAAATTAGCCAGGCATGGTGGCGGGCGCCTGTAATTCCAGCTACTCAGGAGGCTGAAGCAGTAGAATTGCTTGAACCTGGGAGATGGAGGCTACAGTGAGCCAAGATTGCGCCACTGCACTCCAGCCTGGGCGACTGAGCAAGACGATGTCGCAAAACAAAAAGAAAGAAAAAAAAGAAAACTAAAGA